CACTTATGTTTTGTAACAAACATTCAACAAAATATTTATGCATCTTTTTAATTTGAAGCCTTCCCAGACAATTTGGTTAATTTATATCGATTTACTTCTCTATAAGCATCTTTACTAACAATCAGAAATTTGTCTCAATACACAAACCTAGTGTTCTCCCTAGTTTTTATGTGCTTTATCACATAACTTTCAACCTCTTCACAATGTACCTATGACGGTTTACTTGATCTGGTAAAAGTTAAATAGTCTAAAACATCCCGACAGACGTGAAGAAAATTATGTCTGAAACTACAATCAGACAAAGGTTTAAATAAGCCTCTTATTTAAAAAGCATTCAAACATAAAGGAATGTTCTGACGCTAACAAGATTAATTTACAGCTCATGGTGATATAATTAACCAAGAACATTAAAATATGTGGACTAGTGGTCAATCATTGTGTATACCTGTAAATTTACAATTTGTGTTAATATATTTGCAAAAACAAAAATTTGTTATTACAGCTAAATAAATCTATTTACTTTCAGGGTCTGAAATGTAAAAAACAGAAAGTAGATCAAAGTACAATCAATTTGCATATGACCTTTCCTGTAAGAAATCACTCTGTCATCCACATTTCCTCTCAGTGTAACACATCAACTTACCTCAAAATAAGTTACAATGACATCCTTGATAAAATGAATAAGAAATAATTGATTTTTTTCCTGTGAAAGAGGTAATTCACTTTTTTTTTTTAAAGATCGTAAGCAAATCTGAAGCTCATTTCCTGCAAATTTACCCAAATCATTCCCCAATACTCTGCTATAAAATCATTCCTAATTTCTAAATATAAATCATTGTACATAAAAAAGTAGAACACACACCCTTTCAATATGCTGAAAAAAATTATGATTTTAATGTTTTTACTGTTATATAAGCAAGTTTGAATTCAAGTTCACACAGAATTAGGTATATAAAAACAGACCTACATTCTTGATATAGGTCTGTTTGAAACAGGCTTCTTAACTCTTAGAAAAATGAAGCTTTTGCTAACCTGTATAACTCTTTGCTCTATCGCTAATGCTTAAAATAATGAAGCACCCGAAATGCCTTTCTCAGCAATTTTTGTATTGATGGATGCAATACAAAAAGACATGAAGATTTCAAATGACATCCTTCCCAACAAATTATTTGTTGCATTTCTTATCTTTTTAGATACCAAACCACAAATAAATCCTTTTAGGGATAAGGTGTGCAGTCCTTAAGGGCTACACATCTTAGGGAAGGAGAGAAGACAATGTAATTTTTGCTGTTTTGGGTGGTTGTTTGAATAAAAGCAATCTCCCAGAAGCTGCTTGAAATGAAATATTTCAGTTATTTGATTAGAAGGCAGAGAAATATCTAAGAGAAAGATTTCATATACTAGAATTCTCTCTGATAAGTTGCTAACTACGGCCTATTCTAAAAGAAACTATGACTTTACTAGAAGATATGACTACAGACACAGAGGAAGCATGTTGGAAAAGATAATGGTCGTATTTCAGTTTATTCCAATCAAAGTTACTGCTTTGAGGTAAAGGTAAAATAACAGTAAAGTAAATAATATTCCATTATCCCTGTTGATAAATGAGATTAGCTAGTAAAATTATAAGTGCATTAACATCCAGAGAATATGCATTGGTTGTGTAGCTTTTTAGATCTTGTAAATTAGATGGAATAGGAGAGTGCTGTCTGATGCATCTTTCCATTATATCCCACACATTTTCTATGGGTGTTAAAGATCTGGGCCATGTGGCAGCTAAGGAACGTGTTGGAAGTCAGCCTGACGTTCAGCAAACCAATTTTGAACACTTCCGCACGATGTCTAGTTAGATTATCGTCTATGAAGTATCTACCAGTCGCCTTCAGTATAAAAATGCAACAGTGAAGGGTGCACTTTAAGCTGCCAGTATATCTAGGTACATCATAACTGTTTACCCTCAAGGAACACCAGGGCACCATTTCCATGACAGCTGAACATGCCCCATATCATGACACTCTCACCCAACCTTTGTGCAGTGCAAGTAAAGGCTAGATGGCTTCATGGAGTTCTCAAATACGTCGTTTTCCATCAGTGCAATAAAGTGTAGCACAAAGGCCCATTTCCACTACTGCGCTGCATCAACTGAAGACATGGCTACGGCATCCGTACCAGCGTTTCCACTGCCGCGTATCCATAGATTATTTTCATTTTCTGCTGCTAGATGTCACTGTAATATTTTTGCTTGCAAGTTACAACACTGAATATTTGAATTTTTCCCGCTTAAGCAACTACTGTTTGTTTTGGATTTGATATGGATCCTGACGTAAAACATAGAAAAGTTTTGTTTACATGTTCCATGTTATTGGAAATTTTTATTTCTGCTTATGAATTGTGAAAGTACGCTAGCAATTTTTAGATAAGTAATGTTATAATGCATATTATGAACATCACTAATTGCATAGAAGCTGAAGTAAATTTTAAAAATTTCTTTGCATTTCTAGAAGCCTTAAATATTAATGAAATAATATAGATATTATTAAAACTAAAATGTAATGTTACTGAAAAAATAAATAAATGAATAAAATAAAAAAAAGTTAAACAAACTAAAAAATAGTTGGTACTTTAAATATACAGAGCAACTGTAAAGAAAGGTTCACAATATTTACACAAAATTTGCTGTGCTTGTATACCACTGACGGCCATGTGAGATTGTTTATTTTTAAAATATGCCCAAATTTAAGGAGAAAACAGGTAACATATAAAATTTTAGCATCAATTTCTTCAGGATCGTAGCTGGATAATTTGTCAGAAATATCGCTTGCTTTAAAATGCACTATGGGCAGTTATATTTTATGCATAATCTATAAAATATTATATTTAATTTAAACATTTTTAATTCATATCTCTTTTTATAGAAGTTATAAAAATAAGCTTTTTCCCTTCATATATATATACACACACATTAGGTAAAGAAAATGGAAATATTTAATTAATTAATTCCGATGCTTTTGCTGGAGAGGAATGAATTTAAAACCAATTATTATAGTAATTTTTTGTTAAAAAAATGTTTAGGACATTAATACTGTCTGTTAATTGGTAATGAAACAATCCCAATGTCTGAGTACACGTATGTTTATTCACATAAAAGTGAAACCAAAATACATACACGTATATGTGTACAGGATATGCTTTAAATTTGTATTATATAGTTTTCAAATTTTTTTGAGGGGAAAATTTAAATAAATAAGACCATAAATAAAACATCATATTTAATGCATATAATAGAAATGAATTATAAAACACGAATATAGATCAAATTGGAACAAGAAGCTAAGAAAGTTGCAGACAGGGTGGAAAAAGCGTATAGGATTCGAACTCACAACCCCAAAAGTTAATCCTTGTTACCGTTCAGATTTGCCACTAAGCTAGCATCACACAGGAATGATATGCATATTTCGCTTATATACATCATCAAGTAAATTAATTTTTTAAATTTTTGGCCTGTTATGAAATCAATTTTTTGGTCCTATTTCAGTGTGCTATCATCTAAAAAATTCACCAGAGTTTGTTCTTCAGCTTCTAGTACATTCCTTACAAAAAACATCTTTTAAAGTTGCGTTACGATTGAAGTTAAACGGGCTACTCCAAATATATTCCATATGCTTACAAATATATGTTAGCCAAAAAGGTATATTTATTAATAGAGAAATACATATTTAACATACTCTGATGCAGTGGAATATTGAAAGGCTATCAAATTTAATTTTTAATTAACGTTTTTAGTTTTTACCTGTTTCTAAAGAAAAAATAACTCTTTTAATGCCATATCTGATTTGCTACAGCAGTTTGATATAGTTCAGTTTCATTAAAGGTAAGTGTGTATGCAGAACTAGGAAATAATTGTCAGGACAAATTTTGCTATTTCATGGACTTGAAATTATATTTTTTGCACCTGATTTTCTTGAACTGAATTTCTTCATCGCCTGATTTTCTATGTGAGCTAGTACTGTAGTTGCAGTTATCTTGTTTTTCTTATCTTTTTTTAAAACTAAATTCAGCTGGTTGCTGTCTTTTTCAGTACACAGATTTCTTGCTATAATGTTAATTCAGAAATAAGTATTTTTTAGCAAAACATTCTTTACCTAAGCCAGTGTTCATCACTACTTCTGCCGCCATTAATTTTTGATGACAACACCCGATTGCTCCTTTTTTACCATGTGACTAACACATCCGCCGACATACAGATAGAAATTGAACCTTGTTGATCTCCATCTGTATGTCATCCGTCACCGCACATCGGCCGGATTGCAGATGACAATCAAAGTAAATTTGCTCGCTAATTGGAGAAACGCATATGCAGCAGTGGAAATGGGCTTTGATTCAGCTGACCACAACACCTGTTTTCCAGTCCTCTGATGTCCAGTGTTTTTTCCTGACACCACTGCAAACGAATTTTTGCATGTTTGGCAGAAATGAGTGTTTTCTCTCAGACTTTATTTTAATTCAGATACATTAAGAGGGAAATTTGGAGATTTACAGGGAGATGAGATGAAAAGGGGTTTTACTGACAAGCTAGGCAACTTTACATTAAAAAATTAACCACAATTTGGAGTTTACTGGAAAGAGATAAAATTTTAATCAAAAATCCAATAATGCAGGAATATACTATAAAAACATGAACATTTCTTTAATCTGAGGCTGATATTTATAATATATTATTTTTTTAAACCAAATTTTAAGACGGAATGACAATACCACCTTAAAATTAATTAATAATGAGACTTCTTCAGTGATATGAAACCGAATGGTACTTTGCAAAATTTTCATAACAGGCCTTTTTTCATGCAAAATTCCATATAATGAACAGTCCCATGCATCAAAATGACCACTGTGGTCTTTAAATTTATAACCATTATCCACAAACCTTAAAATGTAGTTCAGTGAATATGAATTGAGATTATTTACAAAATATTTTAGCTGCAAGCTAAATACCAACTTACAGTTATTTTACGATCTTCATTATCACATTCCCTGCTTATGTGACCAGATTTTCCACAGGTGTAACATGTCTTATCAGATTCACGGCATTCTCTGGCAAAATGTCCACTTCGTCCACAGTTGTAACAGGAGGCTTCAAGAAAAATAACTTTTACTCAAACACAGCATACAACTATATAATAAATCAATAAAAGAAACAATATCCAAATCAAACAAACTTTAACAGAATATGTATAATATAATCAAATTCCAACAGAAATACTGTATGTTTATTTTATGAAAAAACTTTTTCTAGTTATTTATAGCCTACTAAATTTCCATAGTTAAATTATTGTGCAGATTAAGCACAGAATAAAATATCTGATGTTAATCATTTTCCCTGATATTCGCATCTTCTAAAAATATGACTAAATAAAACATGATCAAAAATCTTGTTTCTAAATGTTCACTCTTAAAAAACTACAGATATAAAACACGATATAAAAATTAGAGATGAACCGAATAAAAACATTTAAAATTATTTACCTCTGGGAGAAGAGCGTGAATCACTCCCTCGTCCACCACGGTAACCTCCACCTCCACCTCGTCCACCACGATAACCACCACTGCGTCCATCACTCAAAGTACAATCCCGGGCAAAATGGCCAGTTTTATGACATTTGTAACATTCACTGGAATTCATATTTATCTAAAAGAATTTGAAATTTTTATGGAAACTACATTTAAGAAAAAGTACATAAAATTATAGGACCATTCTAACAAAAACAAGTTTTTTTTGGTTAATTATTAATTAGTTTAATTAAGATATGCAAATATCATCTTCAATTCTTTTAAATACAAGGTTACATCTAACATTTTAAATCACACTAACACATTCTTATACGTATACATAAAAAGACTTCCTTAAGTGCCTACTTAGAGCATTCCAAAATTAACACCCATTGCCCTTAAAATTTTGCAAAGCCCATACATTTGCTCTGCCAAAGTTGAGAGTGAATTTTCCATTTAAGAAATTTATTTTTGATATCTACTTTTAATCGACCTACTCAAACAGAATTTGAATATTTAATATTAACATTATACAGTATGTCAACCTCTTGAGAGTGAAAAATCAGAAAAAGGATACAGCAAATTTTACAAAGAAATGTTGGATTATAGATACCTATATAAATATTTTCAAACTATTACACAAATATTCTATTTCAAACTATTACAAAAATAAAGAAAAGGAAGACTTTAATGGCAATCAAAAACTTTATGCTCTATTTGCATGTAATTTTTCTCTTAATCTTCGACATTTCAGATTTAGTTAGACTTTTGTTTAGAATATGCAGAAGGAATTGCTACAAATACCAACAATGAAACTGAAATATGATAGATGGTGCTTACAAATGCCTGTGTGTGTAAAAATATGTAATTACTTTTTTCTTGCTTGTCCACACTGAAAAGTAAAAACAAAAAACAGAAAATAGAGAGAATAGTGTAAAAAGAAAGAACTCTGAATAATATGAATTGAGATTATTTACATTATGAAGAAGAATAACTGGCTTAGCTGATTTTCTCTAAGAAATAAAAGAAATCTGCATTAATAAACATGACCTCATTTTATAATAATGATGAGTCTGGCTATTCTAGAACAGAGGTTCTTAATCGTTTTGCCCCATGCCACCTTTCACTACTGCTAGAGGATTATTCCCCCACCCCTTTCCAAAACTCAAAAAATACATATACATTTTAGTTTATTTTTTAATGTTTTTATATAAATTATACCACAAAAGAGTACAAAAAATATTGATCAACAATAAAACTTGTATAAAAATAGCTTTATATATATTTTTATACTAAAATACTTGAGATTTAACAAGATTGACCACATCCCAAAATTTCCCACTAGTTGAGAACCACTGCACTAGAACCTTTTGAAATATGCAGGCAAAAAAAAAAAAAAAAAAAAAAAAAAGAAAGAAAAGAAAAGAAAAACTACCTGAACAGCCAAGCCATTGTCATATATCCAAACTTTGTAACAGAGAAACATCAAAATTATTATGAAAAGAAAAATTCAGAGAAAAAAATAAAGTAAACTTTACCAAAAAGATGGCCACATACCTTAATAACTTGAAACAATTACAGGGGAAATAACTCTTATGATAAAGCATATGTAAAAATACACGAAGTTATTTCTTAAATAACTGCAGAAGATTTTTTGGGGCAAGAGACTATTAACATTATTTTACTAGGTTTATTTCTCTGAATCAAGAATTTTATAAATCATCAAAACGAAAGCTACACATTGAAATGCAAAAATATTCTATTTATTTTAATGATACTTTAAATATGCTGTTACACCTGCCAAAAAAATTGTCATAAAACTTGGAAACCTCCAAAAAAAATTATGTACACAAACTGATCTTAAAATTGCCAAAATGTTGAAAAGTCGCCAAAAACAAAAATAATTAATTATTGAAGAAATTAAACCACAAGAATCAGCTTAATGTTTGTAAATTTTGCAAGACTAGTTTTGATGGTTTAAATACAGAACCATTTTCAGCTGCCTATGGCATGTTATTCCAACTCTTGTTATGTTTCAAAAATGACAAAAGGACTTTTTCATGCAATATAGAAAAACGAATTCAAATGATAACCTAAATCATCCCTCAAACAGCTTCCCCCCTTTTTCAAGCGCCCTATTCATGTCCTTTGTCAATTCCTCGGAGAAATTCCTGAAAATAGGGGATGGAAGGTGATCTGCGGAAATCAAGTCTTGACCTTCTTGATATAGTTATGTTCAAGGTCAAAATCTAAGAACTTTTTTTTTATGCAGACAGACAACAGTCTCATTGATAACACCTCTTTTGAAAGATTAAGTAAAAAATAAAACAGCCATCCCAAAAATTTTCTTGCTGTTTACAAGGCTGATCTCTAACACCCCCCGGCGGTTTAATTCTATATTATACAAAGAAATAATCAGTAGAATACCTTCCGCGAAACGTTTGTGTAAGGTGTCACAAGGTCCCCGCTAGACGGACCAAAGTCCCGCCCAGCTACGGAAACGATGTCCCGCTTACGCGAGATATTTTCGAGATAAACTTCGCCGAAAATATTCCGTCTGCAGCTCTGTCCCGGGTAGAGATCAACCAATCAGACGAAAATTCTGCTTCTGAAGGATCCTGCAGTCCTTATCTGAGCGATAATCGTTTACTGTTTGACGTTCAAGTCTGTGTAAGTGAAAATGGCAACCTAGCTACGTAGGTTTCGTGGAAGTCTGCGAGTTCTGAGAAATGTCCCTTGTCTTTACGGAGCTTCGCCCGTATAAACTTATAAATTAATACACTTTAGAATAAAACCATCGAAACTTGCTAGATGGACAATAAATTACGAAAATTTAAAAACTATATAATCGTTTATACAGAAAAAGGTCTGCGTTTGCATAAATAACCCTCAGAAAAATAAACCAAAAATGGAAGAGAAAAAGACAACTGGTAAAAAACGCGTCACTGAAATCGACGCAACCAAATCCGGAAAATGCCGCAATTAATCCGAATGATACAGGACCATCTCAAAAAGAAATCAAACAAACGCCCATCAGAGATACAAAAAATCGCTCAAGCCCTTAAACAATGAAGACTAAGAACCGACCAATCCTGAAGCTGCTTCCAGACAACTCTCTTTCCACAGCCAACGAGGAAACTTGATACTGGCCACTTTGCCACTCTTCACAAAAGAGCGAATAAAATTACGCCGATTATTATACCGAAAAGGCATATAAATTGGAAAAAAATGTACTCTTTTGTACAAAGAAAGTTATAGATATTAAAGGTGATTCATTCCACATTAAATTTCATGATGCAGATCATTATTGGAAGACAACCAAACATCAGAAAAATAGCGGAATGCCGTTCCATTCATACAAAGTTCGAAAAGACTCTCATGGTAGTAATTAAACTGTTGCCAAACACTGCAATTTCTGACATTGAAGACGAGCTGAAAAACTTTCCCTTTTACAAAGTAACAAAATAAAGAATCCTGAAGAAAAGTCCCAAAACAGTGGAAGGCAGAAATATCTACTACTAACTCATACATTTTCCATCAATGAGAGTTGGATAAGCCTTACCGCTCAAAACCTATTCCTGTGCCATATCTCTGATGTCCAGAGATTCCTAAAAATAATAATAATAATAAAAAACCTCCATTCAAACGCGAAAACTGTTAATGATTTTCCAAAACTTATTCTGCCAAGGCCACAAAATTGAACCTAGCATGGAAAAAAATTCAAAGCCAGAATAAAAATATCGAAACAAATCCAAATGAGGGGTCCCTACTTCTGTGAAAACACACTAGTTTTAAACAAGGCTAAAAAACATTAACAAAGGAAAAAAATTCTAGCACAGAAAAATTGCAGCTCAGCATTGAGATTGCAAAAATTTTTAAACAAATTCGAATATGACTGCAACTAATAAGAATTGAACTACACAGCACTTCGGCAGGAAACTGCTACGTTAAGATTTCATTTTTTAACGCGAACGTCAATTAAAAGCAATTGTGAGACCATGCAAGAGAATCAAATTACACAGGTTCAACATACTTCGCATAAACAGAAACCATAACCGAGGTGGCGGCATCACTAAAAATCATCTTTACAGGCGTTATTTATTACAGACTCCCTTACAAATTAAAGCCACTGCAGTTCTTATTTTTAGTGCCACCAAGTAAGCATTTTGATCTATCTCTGCATAAATCAGTCTAACCACGTGATTTCGAATCAAGACCTTCACAATCTTACTACTATGGTGTCAGTACAGATCATAATTACGGGAGATTTTATCATAGTCCAATCTTTCACCCCAGATACAAACCAACGGCAGACTCCTGCGTTGTTTTGTTGACCAAAACATATAAAGAAAGTAGGACCTAGCAGTCACAAATATTCTCTTAAAATGAATTCACCAACCATCGGCCGTGCGTAACTTCCGTAACAAATAAAGTTTAATGGAAAGTGAAGTCGCACAACACTGGTCGTTCCGAACTAGGTTCGATTATCAGCGCAAGCGCGTCTTTGCGGTTTTCCCCATGTGTAACAAGCCCACCAGCGGGCGAGCGGTGAAGTCGCTAGTAGTTTCGTCCGCGAACGGGCTGGCTGCATGCGCGTTTTTGTGGTTTTCCCTATGTCCCGTGCTAAGAGCCAGTTTCCATTACAATGTCCTCCACGAAGGCATCCCTTCTCTTAGGGAGATAGCTCTCTTGAGCTTTGCGGTAATCATATAAACTCCATGTGTAACGTGTTTATGACCCACTTTCCCTTACAGAGTCGTCCGCGAAGGCAACCTCCCCTTAGGCAGATAGCCCTAAAGTGCTTTGCCGTAATCTCAATAAAACAAACTTAAAAGGAATTCAATATACGCCTCAGATGGAAGTGATAGAAGAGCTTAGCTCGGATCACCTTCTAGTTAACTTTATTTTTTACGGACTGTACCTACCAGTAACAAAATTTCGGAAACTAACCAATTGGGAAAAATTCGGATGTGCGCTGAACTCAGTACCGCACCTCAATACGATCTAGACCTAGACTCAACACTTTAAAAACGCCTGATTAGACTCAAGCAAAGTTATCCTAGAAGACAACCGTAATAAATTCGTAGACAGCGTTCTAAATTAAACTGAAAAACCATATGAGGAAACAATGAAAATATC